CCCCCAGCAGGCTCCCTGCCTGCCAGTAGCCCTGCCAGGACCAAGCTGCTGAGGGTTCTTCACAGTTCTCACTTAGGGTGGAGTCCTGGTGTTGCATTTGTGTGTAAGTGTCCTCTGGAGTGTTTGTGTTTGCCATGTCATTCACACTGAGAGCGGGAAGGAAGCAGCCCTCTTCTTCCCTCCCAGCCCTGTACCTTTTGTTAGATGACTTCAAATGTAGACTCTTGGGTCTTTGAAAGGACTATAGACGTCATTCATTTAGGGAGAGCATATTACTGGACCCTCTGTCCCCCCATGTCTGAATTTCACTATACCAGTAATGAGTGTATGGTTATGGCTTCTTTGCATCTATTGAGATGCCCTGGCTATTTGCCCCTGTACTGAATGCCCCCAATCGGGGGCAGGCAGACTTGCCCTCCTCAGCAACTTTTCAAAGACGAGTCAAGTTTGCCTTTGCCTAGGAGAAAGGAATGTCCTGTCTAGTTGCATTGAACTGATGAGTTCTCTGAAAATGGTTTTGGTAGTCACTAACAGGTGCCTTGCTTTCTCATCCTGGGAGAACGTCTTTTCAACAAGTCTTTCTGTTTCTTGGGGTATCTCTTCTGTATCTTTCCTCCAAATAGCTGTTTGGAGAGTCTAATGAAGCATCTGTCTGGAGACCAATGTTTATTTCAACATGGTTGGAGTTGTTTTTGCTTCAGCTTTCAGAGCCAATAAAGCTAGTTATTAGATTCTGTAATTGCTGCTGTAATTACTCTCTTGGAACCGGCAAAGGCATAATTAAATATGGAGATTCCAAAGACTTTTTTTCCATCTAAAAGCAGCCCCTTAAACTTCTATTGGCCTGGGTTAGATCTCCGTTGTTAAAGCCACTGTTTTTATAAATGATACTGAGGGTTCTTTGGCAGTAAAGGGATTTTTTTAGACACCTCTTCTTTGAATATCTGGTTTAGATGAACAGTTCCTCGATTACCCAGTAATTGTATTTATGTAAACATTGGGCTTGGCTTTTTGGACTTTGGCTACATATAGAAGCAAATTTCTGTGGTTGGAAATAAAGTTGGGATGAGGAAGTTTTACTTTAAGTGTAACTGTTCAGGAAGAGTGGCATTTTACTTGTCAAAGCACTCTGGTTCCTCTAAGCCTTTAGTTTGCCTTATGTTATGCTCCACCATGGTGCCACATGTTTGTAAGATGCGGAGTGGTTCAAGTGCTGTGAATATTAATGTTGTCACCTATTCTCACAGCCCAGATGCTGACCCCATGTCTATTTTCAAGGTTACTTTACTCATGAACCATGTTTGGAGGCTTCTGAGGGTGAAATTAATTTGGAGTTTTCAACTAGTTGATAAACACAGAAGTTAGATCGTTGTAGAAAAAAATCAGCAGTCCCCAGTAGACACCATCCTGGAGAGTTGACTGCATGGAGGGGAGGAGGCTGTGCGAACCCTGCAGGCAGGAGAGGAGCCCCGGGGGGCCAGGCTGTTTGCTTGGGACTTTTCCCCAGTCTCAGAGGGCACACCTGAGACTTGCAGACGTTCCTGTTTTATATGAAACAAGGCACTTTGCAGCAAGGTACTTGCAAAAGTTTCTATTTTGTGTGGGCCAGGAGGAATGCAGGGAGAGGAGCCTGCCAAATGATTTCCCTGGCCCCTGTTTCAGCAAGATAGTACCATTTCTCCTCTGAGTCAGAGGTGCACAGCAATAAAATATGGGCACACCTCGTATGAAGAACCCTGGATAGAATATATGAAAACCTTATAAAACAGATGAAATTGCAGATTCAATGTAATGGACATTAAGCACTTCCTGTGTATCAGTTGTGCTAGATGTTCGTCTGCAAGGATGAACGATATAAACATATTTCATTTATGGTGAAGGGGGTCTCTTGCTTACCTCTCTAGTATATTTGGGTATTTGCTTCCAGATGATTTATTATTTGAGAGATTTTAGAAGTGGAGATGCAGATCAGAGATTGGCATACAAGGAGTCACTGTATTAGAGAAAAAGATAAAACAGTTCTAAATCTGACATTAGAAAGGAACTAACCTTAGTTTTAAAAATCAGAATGTAGCTGACTATATAAAATCAGTTTCATGAACATTTTATCAAGCTCCTGTCACACTCAGGACACTGAAAAGCAAAGCAGATCTGTCACCTCAGTGTTCGTTCATGAGAACTGTCCCGGAGTCACTTGCCATCATTCTGAGCCTGTGGTGGGGAAGGGTGGAGGGCTGGGGGTTGGGCTGAGCCCTCCCCTTCTCACTTCGCAGCAGGATGACTTGGGTGAGCTGCTTTACCTGTCCGGTCTCTGTCACCTTTTTAGTGTGGAGTCTGGGTCTCCACCACATGACTGGATGCTGCAGGATTAAATGAAATGAGGAGGTAGACAGGACTGTCACCTTGCTTGCTTACTGTGCAGCAGGCTCTCAGAATGCCTTGGTGAATCTTGAGTGGTGGACAAGTTGTTATATGCTGGGCTGGGCTGTGGGTGATGGGGACAGCTACCGGGGGAAGCTAGGAAAGAGTTACCTGTGGGACATTGGTGTCTGGCCTGAGAAGGCATGAGAATCACTTGTGACAAGGGCATGTCTGGATCACTTTTCTGTGGAAAAGTAACACAGCACCGAAGTCACAGAGGAAGCAGGTCAGCAGCCCCACACCCCTGGGCACGTACAGGACTCTCCTCTGCCATGATTGTCTGTGGCAAAAGTGGTTATTCAGACTTTGTGGCTTTGTGGAGAGAATTTCAGTCCCTTGCCTTGACTGTCTGTGGCAAAGGTGGTTATTCAGACTTTGGGCTTGTGGAGAGAATTTCAGTCCTTTGCCCCTGCAGGACCTTGCAGGCTACATTAAACCTTGTGGAGGCTTTGTCCTGTGGGCAAAGAAAGCTATTGAGCATTTTTAAGCAAAGGAATGGCTGGATTTGCACTCCTGTGTTCCTAAGGTCCCTTGGACACTCTGTGCTATACTGGATGACCCCTCCAGATCAAGGAGTTCCACACTTGCCTTAAATCCCCTCTGCTGGTTACCACCTGGTGACCTGGGCTGAGTTACATAATCTTTCAGAACCTCATTTACTAAAAGGGGTAGTCATTCTTTTTTTTTTTTTTTCCTTTTTGTCTTTTTTCGTGACCGGTAACGGGATCGCAACCCTTGGTGTTGCGCCTGTACTGCGACCGGCAACGGAATTGCAACCCTCAGTGTCGTGCCCACACCGCGCTCAACCAGTGAGCGGACTGGTCTCTATATGGGATCCGAACCCTCGGTGGGAGCGCCGCCGCGCTCCCAAGCGCTGCACTCTACCGAGTGCGCCACTGGGCCGGCCCAGGGGTAGTCATTCTTACCTTACAAGGTTGTCGTTGTGAGGTATTTATGTAGTGTGCATGACTTAGTGCTATCACAAGGTGAGGGTGTTCAGTAAGGGTCTTTGGGACCCTATGGCGTGACTGTAGGATAGATTTCTTGAAGTCATGGGCTGTTCTGGCCATTCGCATCAGAATCAAGGGAGACTTGGCTTTTCAGATTTTACTGAGGCATATTTCGTTGTTTTTCACATTTTTTGCAAGTTCTCTTTAGCCTCCCCTATCCTTTGGCTGTGAGAATATCTCCTGGTTATTTTATCTGCTGCTTTTAGAGGGATCGTGGACTGTACATGCAGGCCAAGCTTGGCAAGTTTTCCCTTGGCGAGTGGTTCTCAGGATGGAATCCTAGGCTAATAGGGAGTGTGAGTGGAAGGAACATGGGACCTATTCATGTGACATGTGGAAAAACTACAACTCCATTAGGGAAGGAGATTGTGACCTCCATCCTACAGGAGATGGCTCTGGTCTGGAGCTTGGGGGACGTTGGGGAGCGTGCATGGGCGCATATGTGTATATGTGAGGCTAGTGCTGTCTAGACCCAAGGCAGGGGCTGGGCAGCTTTCTGGCCCTGCCCTGTCCATGTGTGTGCTGAGCATTCTTCCTGCTTTGTTGCCCATCTAAGATGTGTGCTAAAGATAATTTTCAGTGTAACGAGGGGAACTGAGAAAGTAAGAGGGAGGAAGCCTGGGTTTTGAGTAGAGAGAAGTGGCTTTGGTCCCAGCTCTGCCGTAAATTCACCTCGGTCAAATTGTTTGCCTTGATTGGAACTTAAAACAAGGTGATCTCTATAGCTATAACATGCCAGGAGGCTAAAATAGATGATGTCATTGACTTGACTAAATGGTCAGACTTGACATTTGTCCATGTCCAGGAATTCTGTCTTTCTTTTAGTTTAGTTGTGTTTTCCATGATAGAGAATACTGTAGTAGCCATCTTCAGGCATGGGGCTTTTTGCTTTGAATAAATTTCCAGAGGAAATAATTTGGTCAGAGAACAGGAACATCACTGTGTCTGTTGCTGTGTGTTGCCATATTACTTTTCAGAAGCGTAACAATTTACAGAATGTTGGCTTTATGTAAGGTAGCATTTTAACCCAACTGATCTAGTATTTGGTATAGTCATTATATATTATTTTCATAGTTTAGTTGGCCTAAAATGGTATTTTAAAGTTGCTTTATAATAATTAGAGCTGTGTGCTTTTTTGTGTGTGTGTGTCCACTGTGTTTAATATGTTAGGTGTTTACATATACTATCTCATGTACTACTCACAATGTACCTAAATAACTCAGATTAAGTCTGTGAGCTGGAGTTTGAGACCAAGACAGTTTGACCTTATAGCACATTTTTTCTCTGGGTGCCTGTCCATGCTCTGATTTGTGTGTGTGTGTAGTTACTAGAGAGTGTAAACTTGTGCTCGTGTGCTTGTTTACTGGCTGCATTTTGATGTATGTGAATTTTGTGTAGTTTTCTTAGAAAATTGAATGTGTTCTTTGTGTGGAAGAGATTCTTAACCCTCTGTTACAGTGGAAGCAGTAAGTGAGGTGCATTCGGTATGACTAGGGAGAAGACTCAAATGAACTCTAGGTCATCACCCAGTATCTGGCCTCTCTGAAACCTTGTTTACCCACCATGCAGCAGCCCTCCAGGCCCTGAAGCGCAAGAAGAGGTATGAGAAGCAGCTGGCGCAGATTGATGGCACATTATCAACCATCGAGTTCCAACGGGAGGCCCTGGAGAATGCCAACACCAACACCGAGGTGCTCAAGAACATGGGCTATGCCGCCAAGGCCATGAAAGCTGCCCACGACAACATGTATGTGTCCCCTCGCTGGTGGAGGGAAGGGCCTGCACGGCAGGGCAGTCCTGGCCCTGGAATGCCTCGTGCCTGGGGCCCCTTGTGTGGACCCCTTGACTTGTCCATTCAAGCACCTGAGTTTGTTTTAATTTGCATTATTTTTTGGAACTCCTTCTAAAATTGATTATATACCCTGCTGCCTTTGGAAGTTGATCTCATGAAATGAAAAGAACTATTTTCTGAGTAATTTCAGGGTTATTGTGATGAGCATAGTTTCAAGCTGGAAAGGTTCTTAGAAGGTCTTCTTTCCCAGGCCTCTGATTATCAAGATGGGGAAGCCATGTCCCATAGAGGGACTTGCCCTGGGTTATGGGTGACCTTGCATAGAGCTGGGATTTGAATCAGTGTTCATGACTTTTTCCTGATGTCAGGAGTCATGGAATGTGTGGTATGTCTGAGGGCTTTGGAGCTCTCTGTTCTTACGTCTGTTTTTGATGGAATTTTCTGTCTCCTCCCTCGCCCTTGGGCTGTGGCTATCATGTTGAAGATGTTCTTGCTCTCAGCGATCCTTCCTCCTCTGTGTGGCTACTTCTCATGGGCAGTGGCTTAAGAAACTACACAACTGAACTTGTTACAGTTGTAACCAAAGGCCAGGGTAACGAGGCTCCAAGTGAGGATTTCTCCTGTGACCAAAATTCTGCATTGGTTGTAATGTTTGGACTTGGCAGCGTATATTTGGGGGTGCCTTTTTTGTTTCCTTTTGGGTACTTGGCTGTGCTCTAGAACAAGGGTTGGCAAAATGCAGCCTGTGGGCCTGCCACCTATTTTTGTAGATAAAGTTTTATTGAAACACGGTCATGCCCATTAATTTACTTATTTGCTATTGCTGCTTTTGTGCTGCACAGCAGGTTTGAGTATTTGCAACAGTGTATGGCCTACAAATTCTAAAATGTTTACTAACTGGTTCTTTATAGAGGTTTGCTGATCCCTAGATTTCTAGTTTGCTCTAGAAATGTGAAGACACAGGGAAAGTAGTCTTCAAATAAGTGAGGTGTTGTCTGAGGGTGGATGTTCACTGGACTGAGCTGCTTCAGTGAGGTCCCCATCTGCTGCATTTCTGTGTTCTCCCAGATACCTAGCACAGAGCACATCTCAGTAAACTCTATACATGCTTTGAAGTTATATGTGTACATATTGTATTGACTGTATGATTGACAGTGTATCGAAACAAATTCTGCATACTTGCCTTTCCTTTGAGGCCTAGTAGAGGAGCGGTAAGTGGATTTGAGTTGCTGGGAAGGTCTGTCAGGCTGTATCTTGTGATTTGTGATTTTACCTCCCCCTGTACAGAGTTGCCTTGGGCTTGAAGAGCTACTGGCCCAGGGTCTCATCTGACATGCTTATGAATTTGCATGTGGGACCTTGGCTGTGCCACCTAACTTTGCTAAATAAGCTTTATTTCCTTAGGGTGTTGGACTAGGTAATATTTTAGGGACATTTCCATCCCTTTGATTTTGTGATTCTCTATTTTAAAGGTGAGGAAGAAGGCAGTAAGGACAAGTGATTCCTTGCAGGGGGTAATTTTAGGAGGTAAAGCTGGGAAGTTGATTATATGGGGTGGTTTTTTTTTCTGCTCCTGCTCCTGCCTTGCAGACTTGCAGACCCTTTTTTTTTTTTGCGGCTGGCCTATATGGGGATCTGAACTCTTGACCTTGGTGTTACAACACTATGCTCTAACCAACTGAGCTAACCAGCCAGCCCTGCAGACCCTCTTTACATGAACCGATCAATCTATATGACATCTGTCCATCTTATTTAAAGGGACATCGATAAAGTCGATGAGTTAATGCAAGACATTGCTGACCAGCAAGAACTTGCAGAAGAGATTTCAACAGCCATTTCAAAACCTGTAGGATTTGGAGAAGAATTTGACGAGGTGAGTGATTTCATACAGATCATGTAAGTTTCACAGATGACACCTAGGCTGCCCCTTGATGTGCTCTTGAAGCCTCTGAGGCAAGGAGTATATTGTTTGCAAATCACAATTCTTACCTCTCTAGAGACTTGGACATAGACAGGGCATGTTGTTAACCTTCTCTAAATTCTGGATTTTTTTTTTTTTTTTTTTTTTTTTTTTTTTTTTTTCCG